TTCACAAGATGAATCCAAATTTTCGCATTTTTCATCAAAAACTGATCAACGAGCTTATTTTATTTGCTATTTCATTACGTTGCTTGATAATTCGATCGCCTCATTGATTTAAAAAAAAAGTCTCCTGCGCTGCCATTTTGGAAACAAGTGTGCCATTGTGATGTCATTGGAAAAGGGATTTTTTGCTATATCGAATCAACAGGATTCAATTCAAACTGATACAACCGAAGTGAAATTCAATTTTTTCTTCATGGAAATTATGGGTTTCATGGCACTATATCTTCGATCTAAATGTCGAAAGTCTAACAAAAATAAAACAACTGAATGATGCCCTGGCCAAGGATTTGGGTATCACCGTTACCACCGATAAAACAACGACTCCATCTAAGTACAGTAAAGTATGTTAATTACATTTTACTAAAGATGATATTATTACTTCATCTACTGCAACCGATTCAAAAACTGGCAAAACTGTAACAATAGATTTGAAAATTCCTAGGCTCAAACGAGATGTTATTCCCACTCAATTTCCCAACTGCTGTCCATCTTATTTATCGAAAGATGTAAAATTACGCACAAGTCGTGATGAAAAACTCGAGATACTAGAGACTAAAAATTTGGCACAAGCACTAACCAAAAGTAAAACTGAATTCGAAAATTACCAAAAATCATTTTGCTACACAGAATTTCAAGAATTTCTAGTTGTATTAGAGTCTTTTCAGTTGCCCGAAAAGTGGTTCAAAATTATCGATTTGCAAAAAGTCACATTATTCAAATTGTCTTATTCTCCAGGGCCCGTAATTACATATTCGGTTGTGATTGATTTTGTTTTGAATGTGGAATCATTTTTGTATGACCTAGCGATACGAACATCTCTAAAAGCCAATCTGAAAACACCTTTTATCTCTAATAATATCAATAAAATCAAGGAATTACTAATTGAAATAGATAAAAACGAGGTACATAATTCGGGAAAATGTCTTGATAATCAGAAAAAGAGGGTTTTGAAACATATTTCGAATGCATTGGACTCTTTGGTTTCTGACTCAATACATTCTCAAATTTCTTTCTGAAAACGGTCATTTGCCTCGTGGCAATGAATGCAGAATTCATTCCAATGATCAAATTGCAACTATTATATTAACATGTACTACGAACACTCTACTTAAAAATTACTGTTTCAAGTCTAACGACCAATTGGGTAAAAAATCCAACAACAGGAAATTGAAAACACTCACTGGCTAATTTTTTAGGTAATAGGAATTCTCCAAGATAAATATAGGTAATTAGGTATAACAAAGGGCATGTCTATCAAACTAAAATACATTTTCCCCAATTTTCTTTCGATCAATCCCATGATAAGTTTATGTTCTGCGGGCCCTGTATAAGTAGGTGTGAAGTTTACCTCTAATGAGATTGAATCGCTACATTTTTTGCCAATATATTCAATTCGAATGGGTTGCTGTAGGTGGGTATTTGTGTTTTATTCTGATTTTTTCTTTGAAACTTCGTTTTTCCATAATAAAATCGAATGGGATGCGAAGAAGGGCTCAGTTGACGGCTGGCATCCTCTTTCAACCGGGAGCCCTTCAAAAAAAAAGCAAAATCGGCTCAATAATGATCTAAAACTAAAATCGAAATACGCGGTCGCTATAAGCGCTTGTCGTTTCGAGCCGCTGGTTAGGCCTGACTAAGTGACGTCACCCACGGAGCATGCAGGCCTTGTTTTATCGGTGGTAACGGTATCACCCGATATATAACTCGACTATATAATTATGTACCAAATCCTTCAAGAAAACAAATATTGCACACAATCGTAGTATATAGTATATTCAGATTTCAGAAACTACTGTGTTATTTTTCTTTATTGTATTGATATAAACTAATATAATTTTTTAGCCAGGGGTTAGGAGGAGTACGCCCTGCCCTGAAGTGGTGACACTGCCACCCATGTTCTTCACTTGAATCCAGTCCAGAATCAATAGTCAGCCCAAGTGTTCCATTTAGGATTCATGATGTCGTTACTTTCGACTAGAAAGCTGAATTTACTGTAAACGTTTCTTATATGGGGTTGTCGAAAAAACCGGAAATTTGTTTTCCATTTATATATTTTTTATCAATAGACCGATTCCATTGATTTTGGTCTTGTTTGTAAGATAATTGAATAAAACAAAACATTAACTACATATTTATTCCAAACAAAATGTCTGAATCACCTAAAGCTTGGCCGAACTTAAAAACTTTCTGGAACTTTTTTGAATCGCACTGAATATTCTTGCGTGTGATACTCTGAAAGCGTTTACTTTTCTGAACAGAACAAGAGGTCAAACATGCAAATCCGTCAAAATATAACTGACAATTGACAGGACAAAAACAGATTTGTTTCCTAATTTCTTTCGTAATTTTGCACCATCAATTAGTTGTGTATAACAAATATAGCTTGTCTTCGGAATTATTGACATTTTTTCATGCGAGTATTTTTCGGGAGAGTTCAAATTCAAGATGGTGCTTTCTAATGACCATAAAAAAGTTGTCCGGATTCTTTTGGAAAACCCAATTCGAAATGGTGAATATTCCCGGAGCAGGTTGATTTTGTAATGGCCAACAAAAACCAACCGGATTCATTTGGAAATAACGAGATGTCTTCGAAACACATCGATTTTGCCTTCGAGGAAGACACGTGTGTGTCAGTCATGCAACTTCATACCCCTGAATAATTATCATAAAAAGAACAATAAGTTCAATATATATAGTCAACATTTCACTATTTAGATGTATGATAAATTGATATTCATCATACAGGGAGTGAAAAAAATTCTGAATTGAGAAAACCCAATCACGAATCTGTGATTACAGGTCTGTAAAAATTACAAATTTCTATCCTTGAAGTTTGAACCCCTTGATTGAGTATGAAAGTATATATTCTCAGATATATTATGAAAAAAATTTACACATATAAAGAAATACATTGAGAATTCGCATTCTGTACCTTTATCTGATTGAAATTAATAATTCTTCATTCTCAGATTTGAGTTCGTTATAATTTTAGTTATATCATAGTGAGATGAAAATTGTTGATGAAAATTCTCAATTTCAGGATATTTTATTTACAAATTCTTATTGTGTGTGTTGAATAGATGTGATTCAATGTTCGTCGTGGCATATATAGCCAGGAAAGTAGTTGTTTTCTGTTGAGTATATCGATAAAGAATCAATATTTTTTATCAGATAGAGAATGCGAATTCTCAATGCATTTCTTTACATGCATAATTTTTTTGTCTGAGAAAATTCCTTTTCAAAATTTTACTAGTTATTATCAAATTATTCAAGAGATAGTCTAATTTCCAAGTTATTCCAACGTTTTCTATTTCTGGTGTTGATTACAACTCTGTACCATGTAGCCAATCAGCAATACCGTCTTTACCATGAGGCCACACGGGGCCCGTGCCCAGAGCCCCCCATCCTCAGGGGGGCCCGAAGCACCGACAATTTCTCTCACATTTATATTTTTGTTGAGCACAGTATACCTATCAGCGCTACCATCAAAATTTTTGGATTATCATTAATGACATATTATGTTGTTCATTTCATTACACAAAATAATTAGAAGATCATAATAGAAAAATGTTAATATAATTCGCTATTTTTACTTTCTGAAAGGGCCCAAGACTCTTGTGTGCCCAAGGAGGGCCCAGCATAGTTTAGGACGGCCTTGTCCATCAAGGTAGCAGAGTGATGTCCAATTGACGTCATTTTTAAGTCACAAAATGACGAAGTGGACGTCTTGAAATGACATCAGAGACACCTTATAGGGATACCTAATGACGTCGAAATATTACAGCGACAAGACGTTATATCTATACGTCAGTCTGACGTCACAAAATGATCTATGGTGGACGGACAAAAAAAATCCTGAGGTTACACTATCTTTATATCTAGAATTAGTCGGGAGAAATCCATGAAAATGTGCAAGCTAATATTTTAGAATACGCTCTTCTCATTACAAATATGTTCGACAATGCAGTGTTGCCGCTTCTACTAGAAAGTAGTAGCAACATTGATATTTCAAATGGAACACCCTGTATTTTATCGTATTCTTAGATTCTTCCTGATTTTATCGATATATCACACTTCGGACCTATCGAAAATGATTACAGAGATATAGGGTGCTCAAAATCGAGATTTTTCAACTTTAGGATTTTTTTGTGTCGACACTTTTCATTAAAGGTCAAAACGGCTCACATGTCCCTATCTCAACTTTTGATTCACTATTTACTGATATTTAATCGGAACAGATACAGGGTGGTTCAAGATTAAGAATTCTGATCACCCTGTATCTGTTCCCATTAAATATCAATAAATAGTAATTCAAAAGTTGGGATAGAGACATGTGAGCCGTTTTGGCCGATAATGGATAGTTTCGACACAAACAAATCCTGAAGTTGAAATATCTCGATTTTGAACAAGCGTCTCTGTAATCATTCCCGATAGACCCAAGTTTGATGTATCGATGAAATCAGCTCTTCAGGGAAAATCCGAAAATGCAATGAAATACAGGGTATTCTATTTGAAATAACAAAGTTGTTGCTACTTTTTGATAGAAGCAGCAACACTGCATTTCTGAAATTATTTAAAATGAAGAGAGCGTATTCTAAAATATAAGCATGCATATTTTCATGTATTTCCCCCGAGTGATTCTCGATATAGAGATAGTGTAAGCTCGCCGTGACATACCCTGTATACAGCTAACAGTTGGATGGATTCGAAAATTGAGCAATATTTCTTAATATTTTCTCAAACTAAAACAGCTGGCAACAGGGCAGGAAAAAAAATTGTGACGTTAGTACGTTTGAACGTATGAATCGACAAAAGTAGAAGATGATTGAGGTTCTTGGCAAAATTTAACACTTCATCCTTACTCAAGAAATCTAGATTATTTTCTAATACAACATACAGTAAATTAGTGCCTCACTCACCCGGTATAATTTTCGTATACTCACTCGCCACAGCGCATGGCCGACCGAGTGGAGTGAAGTGATCTTGGTCTTCTGGGATCTGAAAACAATTGAAAATAAATAATTTGAGAGAGATTCGAAAACACAAAGGATAACATGGCAAACAATTTGATGCTTTTTGGTGAAAAATACAATAAGACACTAAATATCATTATAATAAATTTGTGTGACGTTGTCAAACTGTTTTTCTGTTTATTATAAAATTATACGTCGTATAAAACACGACATGAAGAGGTCATTGTAGATTGTAGATGGGTCCTATAGGCTGGGAGACCTCTCATTCACTGCGACCTAGAAGATCTAATGTGATTACCCTTGTCATCCAACATAAACAGAGACTGTTCGGTTCCCTTTTCTAGTTTTGGTCCTCTAACCCTAGACTTCTGATAAAGCCTAGAATGTTCCTGACGGTTGAATTTTCCACCTCAGCAGGTGTGAGATAGACCTGTTCTAGGTGATTCAGCCTTTGCCGGACTATAATACTTAACATGAGCAAAGTATGTGTTCCGCGGTTTCGGTCGCTTTGTTGCGAAAGCGGCAAGTGTCAGTCCCCGCCAGGCCCATCTTTTTGAGGTGGTACCTCAGAGGGCAGTGTCCTGTGAGAAAGCCTTCGATAAGCTTTAGCTCTGATATGCTGAGGCTGAGTAGCTCTTTGACTCGGTTCTGTGAATGGTTGATGAACCTTTTCGCTTGTCGTTGACCTGGAGTTGCTCTCCAGTATATAGGAGGACTTTACAATTTCTTTCCATTTCCTGAGTTCTCACTTTAGGTGACATTTGCTTGTCCCACAAAAGGGCTCAGGATCAAAGGGTGCAGATGATGCACCTTTCTTTGCAAAGCGATCAGCTGCCTCATTTTCTTTGATCCCTTCATGCCCGGGAATCCACATAAGTGTAACTTAGTTTCATGAGTGTTTCAAAGCAGTCCCATGTAATCTTTGATGTGAAAAGAATTGATTTTGGTGCATAGGTTGATGGCATGTATTTCAGCTTGGAAGATAGTGGGGGAGTGACCTAAGGCTAAGGCTACATCGGGGTTCATATACACCCGCGCCTACCCCTTCTTCCGTTTTCGAACCATCGGTCTACCAAACAAGGGACCCTCTGTCCAGCTGAGGCTCAGCGGAACCGTTCCTAGGGTCATAATAAATATATTATATTTCCGAAAGCTTTTGAGGAACGAGTGAAACATGATGTTGAGAAACAAACATCGATAGTACTTCTGTTCCGGATATAATTTCAACAGATCTTGAGAAACTTCAAATCTATATTTTTTTAATACCCATCATGATCACCTCATTTCAATGAAATGTTTTAATCCTTCGAATTTTTCATTCTAACTCATGCATGAATTTTGTTTTCGATTAGATTTTTTCGACTTTAAATTGAACGTAAAAGTTAGCAACATCCATAGAAGACTAGTCAACGGAGCAATGAAATTTGATTTAGGAAAACACTCACGAACTTTCCGAATAAATAGCACTAAGTATAGTTTATAAGTCCATGAGTTGAACAGATCTCAAAGAAATGTCATAGACATATCATATTTGTATATTGGAATGAACAATGAACAGCCCCATATTCAAAAAGTCGGAATATTGGACAACTAAGATTTGTTGTTCGAAATAAATGTTTAAAGTGTTATACCTACCAAGAGCACAAAATGATCTTTTTCTGCAACCGAGACAAAAGTAGTCCATTTTAATACTAAAATTAGCTCTTGAATTGACGTTTCTATAACTGACAAAAACATAGGTATGTTGCTAGGCAGCACATTTAGTTCCTAAAGTTGAACTAAAAAGGATGTACTATAGAGGTCATGAAGAATAAACAACACTGTTACGGTTGGTTATTTGGGTTGATTTGTTTTCAATTTGAGCAGATTTGGCATTTCATACCAATGCTGGAGATAAATACAGCATATTATAGTTAAGTATTTTTGTTTTGATCAGGAAAGCCTTCAAGATTCACATACTTGCTAGATCTGTATTTCATTCGTTATTCTCGGGGTGGATAACTTTTTTTGGAATAATCAGCAATAATTTTTTGTCTCAAACAACGATATTGTTTACCTTTATTGGATTATCGCGTCAAACACAGTGGAGTAATAAATAAACGCTATTATTATTGTTGATATGCTCACTAACCTAACATTGTCCACGTCTTTTTCCTATTCGCGATAGAAAATACGCGTACGCCACCTATCGGAGTTCTTGAAAGCTGTCAAAGCGGCATGTTTACTTTGTTTTCATTAGTTCACATTTGTTTTTTCTTTGTGCTTATTGGTCATATCATCAAAACAAACCGCTCAGAAGTGTTCAAGTTGCTGCCGTCGTATGGGGCGACGTGTTATTTTCTATCGTGAATACCTGGCACTGGCGTGGTCCATACACAAATATGTCACTTTGTGGTTGTATTTATATTGAAACTACAATTCGAACATCTTTGAAAATTGAATAAAACTGATATGTTAATGCAGGTAGAATATTCTCACCACCCCTGCATCAATGAACTCAATATAAACACCTATGGCACGGTATTGGTGGTTACTTCACATATTTATTTGTTAGCTCTTTCGGTTGCAGAAAAAATAGCATGTTTTATTAGGATCGAAAGAGACTTTGTTTGACTCGCAAATTTTGCTCCGCTCGGCTTCGACTGTTTTATTTCGCTACTCCGAAATAAGAAAGGACAAAAAAGTGTTCTTCCTATTAGTTTTCAGTAAGCTATATCTACTATTGTCTCTGAAAAAAAGATTACATCACATCACATGCATGATGTCACATCCAACCTAGCCGAATTTCGTAGTAGACAAAGTGATGAAAGTATGATCTGGCTATTTATAAAAAAGACCATGTCGAGCGACGTCTATGACGTCATTACGATATTCTATCAGGATCCGCTCAAAAGCGTCTCGTTACTAGAAAGTTCGCTATACTGTTATAATAGAAAGTGCTAATTTGAGAACTCAATAGTCGACTGCCTCTTGATCATGGCCTTATTATTCGCATTGCATCTCCAGTTAGGCAGAGAATTTACAATCAGTTACGGCATTGAATGATATACAATAACCAATCAATGGTTACGGTGATACGGTTATTTCAACATAGTATTTTTGAAACAAAACACATACACGATGCCCCCAAAATGGGTGAACTACTTTACCAACGGATGGTTTCTATCATAATATCAACAACTACACGAAAAAAAGTTTCGTTTCATCAACAAATTATCATTATATTGTTTGAATTAATGTTGAAATGATCAATTTTTTGTTGAATTAGACAATACATGATCGTTTCAAAGAGGCAGCTTATTGTTCTAATCGAGGATATAGTTTAATGGAATTAACATCATATTATCAATTTCATCAACAAAACATATGGCAATACCAAAAACACATTATGTTGATCCAAAAATAATGTCGACGTTGATTCAACGATTTTAAGAACATATATATCTTTGAGACAACATATAAGTTTTCGTATTCCGATGTAGTTTCAAATGCATTATTTGCTTGAATGGAACAACGAAATGCATAATATCAATGAAATATTTCGTTCATTCAACATCAAATGTACAATTTTGCCACTAAATGGCGATCTTTTCGCCTCATCTATGCCAATTCATTTTAGGTAGGTACATAAAACCTAGATCAGCTAAAGATTATACTAGTTATCTAAGTTTTGTATTCTTTCGATGGGAACATTTTATAAATTTCCAAATCAATACTGAATTTGGTTCAACAACACAATTTGTCAGATTGATGATGGTGCATGTCAACACAAAATGTAACAAAGTAAAGTCATCTTCCACCAATATTCTAATGTGAAGTAGTCTGAGTGAGGTCTTGCTTCTATCTACTTACCTATATTATTATTAAAAGGTATTATTAGAAATTATTAGAAAGGGTTTATCTGTGTTTGAACGATAGAGAGCTTGCAGCAGCAGTATTCTGTGACTTTTCTCAAAAGCATATGACTGTGTCGATCACGGAATACTGCTAGCCAAGCTAAATCATAACGGATTCAGGGGTCTCGCTAATGACTGGTTCGCTTCATACCTCACTGGAAGAAAACAATTTATGAAAATTGATGGGGTGAAATCCTCTTCATTGAATATACATTGTGGTGTACCTCAAGGGTCATTGTTGGGTCCCGTATTGTTTCTCCTATATATAAATGATATTTCTAGTATTTCTACTCAAGGAAAATTCACTATAATCGCCGACGATACCACCATTCTATGGCACAGAAGAAATGTCAATGGATTGAAGGCAACGATCACCAGTGATTTGGGAAAAAGTCAAACTTTGGTGCGACTCAAATCACTTATGTTTTAACGCTAACAAAACCAATATCCTTACAATAAAATTCGATATTGACGACTTTCAACTAGAGAATCAGAATATTGAAAACAAACCACACTGTGAATTCTTAGGCCTTTCGATTGACAATAGACTCAAATTTGAAGAGCACGTGAAAAACCTCAATAGAAAGCAATATTCTAGCTGTTATGCTATCCGAGTTATTTCTAATGAGCTTGGGCTATCTTCAGCGAAAATGGCATATTTTTTTCTTCATTCGAATCGCATATTACGTACGGTATTGCTTACTGGGGTTTTTGCACAGATCAATAATTATCGAACTCAGTGTTCGTTCTACAGAAGAGAGCTGTCCGGTACTGGTACAATGAAGTTCATTGTACCAGTATATCACCTGACGAAGCTACTGTGTTAGCGAAACATGTCGTGTGTTTGAGAAGTTTGTGGAAATCTTATCGTTTGTGAAGTTTTTACAAAAAAATACAATCTACAATAACCCATTCCTTTGTATACATTGACAAAACATTCACTTATATATGAAAGCAAAAAAATGTACAATCATCTTTCACAAGAGATACGTAAAGTTTCGAATCTAAAAACCTTTAGGCATAAACTGAAGAAACAACTGGAAATAAAAGCGTATTATAGTGTTTCAGAATATTACAATGATACCTTTTGATATGTTAGATATTTTCATTAGGCATGTGAAAACTATTA